AAAGCTTGTTGGATGACTGAGGAAACCACAGGCTTCTTGCATTTGTGTTGCTAGACTGAACCTGGACTTTACTTGGTAATATTTTTGTCTCACCATCCTAACCCCAATCTATTTCCTAAATAAACCCCACAACTGTGACCCAGTGATTAGCAGAAATAGATGCAGGAGTTGGGCAGGGATTGGGTAGGACGGTGGATCACATCTGACCTTAGAGAGATTAGTTTTACATGGAGGATGCTGTTGATAGGGACAGTTCCACTTTGTGAAGTTAGCTGAGGTTGGATACAGCCTTCCTCATATTGCTGCTGCTCCTCTTACAAGAATTTTGGAAGAAAGGCCTGACTTTAGCAATTGATACATATGAACCAAGAAAATAAGGGACCTTTAGAAAATCTTTAATCAAATCAGTAAAAGTACCAATTCAAAGACCTCAGTTGATTTGGTTAATTAGCATCTGACTAATCTACATCTTCAAGGAAACTGTGTTGGCTTAGTTCATAGGGTGTTGGGCTGCCAACCCAAAGGCTATGCCTCTCTCGTGGTTCAAATGCACTACCACCTCCATAGGAAAAGGATAGGCAATCTTGTCCTGTGCTCTTTACAACCTCAGAAATCCATCTGAGGCTTAGCTATGACTCAGTTCTGACTCAAAGGCAGTAAGAGAGAGTTTCATCTTCAACTGATCAGATTGTAAGAGTCTTCTTTAACGTTATAATCCATTCAAACTCTAGTATCCCTGTTGATGGTAGGTGCCATCAAGTCAACTACTACTCACAAAACCTTTATGAACAATAGATTTGAACCATGCCCTGTTCTGTGTCATCCTCATGATCTCTAACGTATTTGAGCCCATTGTTATAATCACTGTGTCAAATCCTCTGGTTGAGGGTTTCCTTTTCTTTTTTTGATCAGCATGCTATCATTTTATAAGAACATAATTTAAAAAAAATCTGTAGGGGAAAGTTCTACAATCCAAATAGATTTGAAAATGAAAAAGAGCTGTCTAACATATGAGCTTCACTAGCATCTTTTCATATGTTATATTTCTGATGGAAAGACACTACTATTGATAGAAGTAAACAGCATGGAAGGTACATAAAATGACTAGGTCACTGGAAAGGTTAAACATGCATTAACTATATAATAGCAATATGAGAGACTTCAGTAGAATATGATCTCTTGGTAATTCAATTCAAGAGTTCCCATGGGCTACCTAAAATGGAATAGGAGAGAGCACTTAGTTTGAAATAAAGGTGATACTAGTGAAAACTAAAGAAAAAAAATAATAAAGTGCTCCTATTAAAAAATATCTCCTCATCACCCAACTTTCCAAATGTTGCTGCAAAATTTAAGAAATCAGGTATTAAAATAAAAATGTTTTAAATGATACCTAACATTTTTGTCTTCCTAAATGAACATGATGAAAAAAACTGCTTATTATTGAGATTTACTTAGAAAATGCTTTGAAAGCCTGGAATGGAAAAAAATAATATAGACTAATGAACAACAAAGCAAAAAAATTAAGAAAAATTCGTTCTTTATGATTACTTTAATACAAAGAGAGGTGTAAAGGGCACAATTAACAACTTCAACTGCACTGTGCTCTGGATAACTCGCCAATTTCACAGAGCACCTTTACTGCGGTTCACTGATAAGAAGCGCTGACAAAGCAGTAGTCCCCCAACCAACTCAGCATGTGTGAAGGCAAAAGTTTCTTCACCTATAAAACAAAGAGAGTGATTTTCTGCCTAGCAAATCTATAATGTTTATTGCTGCTTGCTAGGCAGTTAACTGAAAATCATGTCGGTTACTCAGAAAACAAAAACCTCTATGTATAAATAAGAGTATTAAATATAAGTGGCAGGCTTGTAATCCAACTCTAGCTCTATTATCACTAGCTGTGTGACCTTGGGTAGCTTTCACAATCTCTTTAAGCTTCAAGTTTTCCTATACAAAGTGAGGGCAATAATAGTATCTAGGGCGGTTGTATTACATTTAAAATTCAAACCATATATTCAAACCATCCTGATCTCATAAATGAGTCCACACTCAGGCCCAATTAGCCTTCCAATATTAACAGATTTTTTTTGCAAACCTAGCAGAGACTGGGGGGAAAAATTGTCTGGTACATTGCAAGCTTCTAATAAAAAGTAGAAATGGTTATGAGTTTTAAGACACTAAAGCAACATTTGCTAAATTTGAAAATTTAAGACATGAAGTATATATCAGCATATGTTGTTGTTGTTGTTATGTGCCGTCAAGTCGCTTGCGACTCATAGCAACCCTATGTACAACAGCCCTAAACTCCACTCTGTCCTGTGCCAATCACACTGTCTCTGACACTCCCATCCCAATTATCCCAATCACTGAATCAATCCACTTCATAGAGGGCCTTCCTCTCCTGCGCTGTCCCTCCACCCTCCCAAGCATGATGTCCCTCTCTAAGGACCGGTCTCTCCTCACAACATGTCCAAAGTATGTTAGACGGAGCCTCAGAATCCTTGCCTCCAAGGAGCAAGGATATCAGCATATACTCTAGAATAATAATTTTAGACATTTATTATTATCCTTAGCAAGTAGGTTTATTCAACAAGTAGTTCTGATGATTAAAACTGAGGAGTCCCTTTCCCTAAATGACATGTAATATGGTTTTACTAAGCCTCATTCCATATTCTGTACACAATGAACAAGGCAACAATGACTATTATGGACTTCAGAGTTAAAACTGTCCAAGACCTCAATTATGCTATTTACTAGCTAGCTGAGCGGCCTCAGGTAAGACGATTTAACCTTCCTGATACTACAAATATATAAAAAATGGAGATACTTTGCTACTGTGAATAACACAGCAATAAACATGGGTGTGTATATATCTGTCTGGGTGGCAGTTGTGGTTTCTCTAGAGTATATTCCCAGGAGTGGAGTTGCTAGGTCAAATCAAATGTACTTCAATTTTCAACTTTCTGATAAAGAACCAAACCGTCCTCCACAGTGGTTGCACCATTTTACACTCCACTAGCAGTGAATAAGGGTTCCAATCTCTCCACAACCTCACCAGCATTTATTTTTTGCTGCTCTGTTGAAATTTGCTATTGTTGCTGGGGGAAGATGACATATCATAGTTGTTATTAGGACAGATGAAGGAAAGAAATGTTTAAAAGGACTATATGACTACACATTATTTATATGACAAAAATCCAGAATAAGAGCTGCAAAGCAAAGTGAACTGAGGCAAGGGTGGGGGGAGAGAGGAAGTGACACAACATGAATGATTTTTTTTTAAAGAGAAATGCGGGGACAGGGAAGAAAATGTGCAACAATGAATGAATAAAAATTCAACTTTTCTCCGGCGCTGGCTGAAAATCGCCTGTGACTTCATCCATAGCCACTGGTGAGAGTCAGCGCCCAGAGCCATCAGGGGCTTTAAGCTCGTTGCCCACTGCTGTGGTGTGGACAGCTGAAACCCAGGCCCCGACAGGCACCCGGGGGG